AGAATACAGTATATAATATATATTACATACAAAATGTGTGTTAATCAACTATTTGGTTATCCATAAGGCTTCTAGTCAATAGTAGGCTGTTATTAGTCGTTACGTTTTGGGGGAGTCAAAAGTCATACATGGATTTTTGACTGCATGGCAGGGGATAAGTGCCCCCACTTCAAGGGTCAGCTGTATTTCCCTGGTCAATTTAACTCTGCCTTCAAGTGAATGATTAAAGTTGAATTTAGGAATTGTGTTTTTTGGGGATGCCGTAAATCTTTTCTCTATCCTCAGTAGTTCTTACCACAATCCTCTAATGACCTTAGGATCTCACTATTGCTTATTGAATGAATGAAATGTCAATTTTTCCCACAAATAGTTTAAATCTATAACTAGCAATAATTATATTTTTAAGTAACTGATTCATAATACTACTTCTAAAATAAACTCATAAATGTAAAGTGATATCCTAAATTTATCTTGTATCTTTACAAATTGTAATAAATTGAAAGGGAAATCTGCATAAAGTGATTTTTTTTATTGTAATTTTTTAAAAGTTTATTTATTTAGGTAATGTCTACACCCAACATGGGCTTGAACTCACGACCGCAAGGTTAACAGTTGCACGCTCTTCTGACTGAGCTAGGCAGGTGCCCCTCATTGTAATTTTAAGATGGTTTCAACAGTATGTTACTTCTTAGGAAGAAAATGATTGTATTTGCTGCTTATGCATTTACATGTCTTTCAATAGAGTGGAGCTAATGGGCTCAGAATATATGAATAGAAATATATTTAGTTTTGGGGTGCCTGGCTGACTTAATTTGGTAGAGCATGGAACCCTTGGTCTCCAGAGTCATGAGTTCAAGCCCATGTTGGGCATCGAGTTTACTTAAGAAAATAATAAAAATTAATATTTTGTATATAGTTTTACAAAAGAATTATGGGGCAAACACAACCACAGTTACTTTCATTTCTTGACCATTTTAGTTTATGGCAGACACCATCTGAATTTTCCATGTGAGTCTATCATTTTATGACTGAAGACAAATTATTTCCAGTGGCTTGGTGGCTTCATTTAGCCTCTTACTGCCTGTTATTATACTGTGGGTACATCTGGAGACACATCATCTCCCACAAAAGGGCCCTCCAGCCTGTTAAGTAATAACAACCTTTCTCACCCTGAAACAATGAAGTATCAGTTGATTGCAGCCTCAAACAAAAGATCCCCACTCCCTTTCAGAGCAGATTATACTCATGACTCCCCTCCCGCCCTGGTGAGCCTGGCACTCAAGAATATCTAGTTTAGCCTTTTCTTTGTTAATAGAGGATCAGAAAGGGCTCTTTGTTATACTCTCTCATTTGTTCCAGCAGGATGTCTCTATTATCTCGTTCTGCTGTTTGGCACATGCGGTAATGTCTTCAATAGCACCTTGAATCATGTTCTCTTTCCTTTGTCATGGAGCTTAAGCTTCATCTAAATAATTACTTTTGTTCAGAAATCAAACCCCGCTAACCAAGTGTTTTTGACAGACACACTGACTCAGAATGTTCTTTGCCCCATGTAAAATCAGCATCAATTCCTGATTAGATTCCCTTTCTGTCCCCATGAATTTGCAGGTCGTTTGGGTCCTGGGAATGCTTATTGATGGCTTCTCTAATGACGGCATTTTATGTTTAATGGGTTTGGTGTAGTTTAGAGCAATTTGGGGGTACCGTTATGACTGGGATCTCATTCATTGTTTTGGCAAAACATGAGGGGAATTAATTACAAGGCTATTGAGTGAAATCAGGTGACTCTGAGATGCTCTAGTTATTACAGAATGGGAGAGGTTGAACACCATGTTTCTGAAACCATTCAGCACATCTTATTTATCCACAGTCATTGCAATAAGAACATTATATAGTAGCATGGGATTTCTTTTCTTTCTTCCTTCCTTTCTTTCTCCTTTTCTTTTCTTTTCTTTGCTTTGCTTTGCTTTTCTCCCCTCCCCTCCCCTCCCCTCCCCTTCACAAAGTAACAGAATAGGGTTGCATTTAAAACTTACTCTTTCAAAAACTTACAAGTGCTTACTATAAAAAATAAAAAGGACTGACGTGTGTGTGTGTGTGTGTGTGTGTGTGTGTGAGAGAGAGAGAGAGAGAGAGAGAGAGAGACAGAGAGAGCTTCTCTTAGATAAGAATCATTTGTAGTGAACTTCTGCATGAAGAATTCCTGAAAATATTAATGTGCTCTATTCTTTCAGACTCAGCTCAGTTCGAGTTACACCCTTGCAAATCAGAAAATTGATTTCTTTGGAATTCTTGCTTCTCAATTGTCTTGAAAGACACATTAGTGTAACGGAACCAGAACTCTAGTGTCCTGTTTTTTCCATATAATAGCTAATTAACCTTTCTCAGGTGCAAAATAAGGATAATGGGAGATACACAGATTTGTTGTATTAAATGCATTAGATGAGTGTGGTGCCTGAGTGCTCAGCTGGTTGAGCATCCAACTCTTTTTTTTTTAATGTTTATTTAGTTTTGAGAGAGACACACACACACAGAGCATGAGTGAGGGAGGGGCAGAGACAGAGGGAGACACAGAATCCGAAGCAGGCTCCAGGCTCTGAGCTGTCAGCACAGGGCCCAACACGGGGCTCGAACTCACAGACGATGAGATCACGACCTGGGCCGAAGTTGGACGCTTCACCAACTGAGCCACCCAGGCGCCCAAGTATCCAACTCTTGATTGTGGCTCAGGTCATGATCTCATGGGTCATGAGATCGAGCCCTGTGTCAGCTTCCACATTGATGGTGTGGAGCTTGCTTGGGATTCTTTCTCCCTTTCTCTGCTCCTCGGTGGTGCGCTTTCTTTCTCAAAATAAATAAATAGACATTTAAAACAAATGTATTAGATGAGTAGTACATGTAAGATGTTTAGAATAGTGCCTGGCGTAAGTACTCTGAGCCAGATTTTTTTTTTTTTAGTTATCCTAACCATAATATTTGAGTGCCTATTTTTTAAACAAATTTTGAGGATTTAAAGAGATTGTTTAAAAATGACATTCAGTTGAGTGAGTTTGAAGATCTAATTGGCTTTACTTAATGATTGATGAATCAGGCAGCATCTCATGTTAGCAGGTAGAGAGGGGCTTCTAGGAGCTGTACCAAATGGAAGGCTTTTACAGGCAGAGGGAGCAGAAAAAGTTTTTAGCAAAGAGTGTATTGTTTCAGGCAAGGTATCTTCCTTTGGGGGAAGGCAGTGGTTTGTCAGGAAGATTACCTTGCCAGTGCTGACCAGGTTGGTTAAAGGTTGGTTAAAGGTTATATTCCTGAGAGAGGCTGAACTGCAATTGGGTTCGTTGTTAAGTCTCGGTTTGGTGACGTGGCCTTAGCATAAGGGACTCCATTTTGGGCCTGTTGTCTCTCTCTCTCTCTTTTTAAAAATGTTTAATGTGTATTTATTTTAATGTTGATAAAGAAAGAGAAAGAGACAGAGCAGGGGAGGTGCAGAGACAGGGGAGGACAGAAGATCTGAAGCAGGCTCCAAGTTGACAGTGGAGAGCCTGATATGGGACTTGAACTCTTGAACCATGAGATCATGACCTTAGCTGAAGTCGGACACTTAACTGACTGAGCCACCCAGGTGCCCTAAAGAGCCCGTTGTCTCTTTTTAAATTTTTTTTCAACGTTTATTTATTTTGGGGACAGAGAGAGACAGAGCATGAACGGGGGAGGGGCAGAGAGAGAGGGAGACACAGAATCGGAAACAGGCTCCAGGCTCCGAGCCATCAGCCCAGAGCCCGACGCGGGGCTCGAACTCACGGGACCGCGAGATCGTGACCTGGCTGAAGTCGGACGCTTAACTGACTGCGCCACCCAGGCGCCCCCGGTTGTCTCTTTTTAAACCAGCTAATGTAGACTTTAGGTTTTCTCACTAAATGAACTCATAGCCTATAGTTAAGTGATAACAGGTAGAAATACTTAAGTTGCTTCGCTGAAAGAAAAATCTGGTGGGGAAATCGAACACCTAAACATGAAAGCTTGTCTATTGGAACTTGTTAGGGCCAACTTACGGTCTTCATATGATGCATGGACTTTAAGTTCGGTTTGAAGGGCTTACAGTAATGCTCCTCAAAAAGTGTGACCACTTGCTTTAGTGTCACCAGGGTGTGTTTTAAAAATGTAAAATCCACGGCCCTCTTTGCACGAGTTGAGCTGGAATCACTGGAGTGGAGAACCCAGGAATCTACGTTTTTAACAAACATCCCTGGTGATTCTTTTTTGTACAATGAAAACTGAGAACAGTTGCCTCTGAAGAGCGGCTCTCAACCAAGTTCTTGATAGAATTACTCAGGTGACATTTAAAAGATAGAGATGCTTGGATCCCGACTTGATTGTTTGGGGTGTGGCACTGGGCATTAATGTTAGAGGGTGATTATAAGGTGCCACCAGGGTCAAGAAGCAGGAGCATTACGGGGCACCTGGGTGGCTCAGTTGGTTTAGTGTCTGACTCTGGCTCAGGTCATGATCTCAGGGTTCATGAGTGCCAGCCCCACGTCGGGCTCTGTGCTGACAACTCAGAGCTTGGAACCTGCTTCGGATTCTGTGTCTCCCTCTCTCTGCCTCTCCCCCACTCGTGCCCTCTCTCTCAAAAATAAATAAAACATTACACATTTTTTTTAAAAAAGCAGGAGCATTAGAAAACAATTGGTGGTTATATCAGGGATGTAGGCTGACTCGATGTTTTCAAAGTCATTACAGTGGTTACCAGGGAGGAATGGGCAATTCTTGCTTAATGGCTGTAGAGTTTCTGTGTGGGATGATGAAAAAGTCCTGGAGATGGATGGTGATAACGGTTGTACAACCGCTGAAGGCACTTAATGCCCCTGAACTGTGCACTGAAACGTGGTTAAGATGGCACGTTTTATGTTACGTGATTTGGCCACCACCAAAGACGCTTAATAAAACCATCACAATTCTCACATTTCTGAACCGTAATTTTCTTCTTTTCGCAGTGACAGTGTATCATGCATGCCACTGATTCCAGGGGACAGCCCCCTGCTTTCCTGCAACCTCAGAACGGAAACGGCCATCGCTCGTCTGGCTATGTTCCCGGGAAGGTTGTGCCGCTGCGTCCCCCTCCTCCTCCAAAGAGCCAAGCTTCAGCCAAATTGACCTCTGTCAGACAGGAAGCCCGGGCCACCTTCGCTTTCTCACCTGAAGAGCAGCAGGCCCAGAGAGAGAGCCGAAAGCAGAAGAGGCACAAAAATACTTTCATTTGCTTCGCCATCACTAGTTTCTCATTTTTCGTTGCACTCGCGGTCATTTTAGGCATATCCTCAAAATACGCCCCAGATGGTAAGTGCGCACGTGTGGACACGCACGTGTACAGACGACCCAGTGCAGGAGAAGGAAGAGGGAAGGAAATAGCAGAATGAAATTAAAAAGAAAGCCTTGTGATATCTTCACTTGGCTCTAGCGAATTAAAGTATAATTAGAGAACAGGAGTTGTAGCTGCTTATGGAAGCAATTGTTAAAGGAATCCGTGGCCATGACACGCTTAAAGGATTGCCCTTCCTGCCCATTCTGCCACTTTGGCAGAATTCTTGTGTTACTGCGACTTCATCCTTTGTGGTGGGTATGATTGTCTGACTGCCAGAGGTTTTTAGTGATAAAAATGACTAAGTGTAATGATAAAACTACATTTGTTCTTTTTTCTTTTAAGATTTCTTTTTTTTTTTAATTTTTTTTTT